GGTAAAGATCGAGCACCCCGGATTGCTGATGTTTGAAATCTGAAATCCGCAGTGAATTTGGTCGAAAGCCTCAGCATGGATTCTGGCAGTGCTTGTGGAGAGAAAATGCAGAATCAGTGATTTCAGAGCAGGGTCTCAGAGCTGTGCCTTTGGTTGACACTTTTTTGACAATAGCAACAGAATGAACGTGGTAGCTTCTGATGGATAATTTTTGTGCTAAAAGGGGTGGTTGGAATTTACTTGTCCTTTTGCATATCTTCACGGTGCAGTTTCCAGATAAGGAACCACTGTCGTCTATATGTTGAGTTGAAGCCTATGAGGATGTCTGAGTGACGATATGTGATGAGATGCTTGCAAATTAATTTTTGTGACTTTTGTTTTCCAGGGCAGGCAGTGGTAACTTCCGTGGGTAAATCAGACCTGTGTAATTTCACTCTCTGTACCAAGAGTTGCGAGACTATAAAGTACACAGGCAAATGTCAAACCACCACAGCACCTACCACCACTCCATCCGAAAGTGCAACAACAGTTACAGTAACTCCCAGCTCCACAGAAACAACAAGATGCTCTTGTCACGTGAATGGCCAAGCATTATCACCTGGTAAGTTTATCAGTTGAAAGGAAATCTGATACCATGATGGGTGGCACATGTTGTCTGCGAAAGATCAAAATCCCCGTACTGCCGACGTTGCAAATCTGAAATCAAAAGTGAATTTGCAGTAAACTATCAACAGGGAGTCTGGCAGGATATGGGGAGAGGAAGTGCAGAGTTCGTGATGGCCTTGCAGGGTCTTGGAGCTGTCTGCACATTTTCTGTGATGGACACCTCTTTGGCAATTCCAACACGGTGAACGTGATAGGATCTGATGAGTTATTTTACTACTAAAATAACTGGTTAGAATTTACTTGTCCATTCCCATAACTTCAAGGTCCAGTCTTCCGAACAGCAGACACTGACATCTATATATTGAGACAAAAGTCAATTGACTGATTGAGTGAGGACATTTGATGAGATGCTTGCACATTAATTTTTGTGACTTTTGTTTTCCAGGGCAGGCAGTGGTAACTTCCGTGGGTAAATCAGACCTGTGTAATTTCACTCTCTGTGCCATGAGTTGCGAGATTATAAATTACACAGGCAAATGTCAAACCACCACAGCACCTACCACCACTCCATCCGAAACTGCGACAACAGTAACAGTAACTCCCAGCTCCACAGAAACAACAAGATGCTCTTGTCACGTGAATGGCCACGCATTATCACCTGGTAAGTTTATCAGTTGAAAGGAAATCTGATACCATGAAGAGTGGCACATGGTGTCTGGGAAAGTTCGAGCACCCCGGACTGCTGATGTTTGAAATCTGAAATCAGCAGTGAATTTGGTCGAAAACCTGAGCATGGATTCTGGCAGTGCTTGTGGAGAGAAAATGCAGAGTCAGTGATTTCAGAGCAGGGTCTCAGAGCTATGCCTTTGGTTGACGCTTCGTTGACAGTCGCAACAGAATGATTGTGATAGGTTCTGATGGATAATTTTTGTTCTTAACGAGGTGGTTAGAATTTACTTGTACTTTCGTGTAACTTCCAGGTGCAGTTTCCACATAAGGAGCCACTGTCTTCTACATATTGAGTTGAAGTCGATGAGGGTGTCTGAGTGACGACGTACGATGAGTTGCCAGTAACATTATTTTCCTGACTTTTGTCTTCCAGGGCAGGCAGTGGTCACTTCCGTGGGTAAATCAGACCTGTGTAATTTCACGCTCTGTACCAAGAGTTGCGAGATTATAAAGTACACAGGCAAATGTCAAACCACCACAGCACCTGCCACCACTCCATCCGAAAGTGCAACAACTGTAACAGTAACTCCCAGCTCCACAGAAACAACGAGGTGCTTTTGCGATGTGAATGGACGGACCTTCTCTCCTGGTAATTTTGTTAATTAATTGAATCTCCAGCCATTTTGTCATATTTAACCGTTTGGCAATGTACATTTTGCAATGTGACAAGTAGAAATTGGAATTGGACTCGCGGGTAGATATGAAGTTAAGATGCCCTTTGGTGTGGTTGCCTTTATTGGTCATTTCATTGTGTATGGGCATTGGGAGGTCATTTTGCTGCTGTGGTTGACCTTGGGTCAGCCACTGTTTGAGTATTGTGTGTAATTCTGGTCTTCCAGCTTTGGGAATATGTTGTGAAACTCGAACTGTTTCAGAAAATATTTCCAAGGATGTTGCCAGCGTTGGAGGGTATGAGCTCTTGGAGATGCTGAATAGTTTGGCGCTTTTTTCCCTGTTGCATCAGAGGCTGACGGATGGCCTAATCAAGCTTTATAAAAGTACGAAGGCCATGGATAAGAGAAATAGACAAGATCTTCTCCCTGAGGGTGGAGGAGTCCAAAAATAGAGTGCATATGTTTAAGCTGACAGGGGTAAGATATAAAAGGGAACTAAGGGGCAACTTTTTCACACAGAGGGTGGTGCATCTTTGGAATGAGCTGCCAGACGAAGTGGTGTAGCCTGTATGATTGCTTGATTTAAAATGCATCTGGACGTGTATATGATTTGGAAATCTTTGGAGGGACATGGCCCAAATGCGACAAATGGGACTACATTTTTTTCGGATACGTGGTCAGCATGGACAAATTGGACCGAAGGGTCTGTTTCTATGCTGCATATAACTCTGACTCTAAATATGACTAAAGCAGGTCTGTAATGACTTTTCTCAATTTCTTCATTTCAGAAACTGTGTTCTCTTCGCATGACTTGATTCTCTTCTTCAAGTTTTGTTATTTTTAGGTTCAAGCTACTTTTGTGTTTTCACTGTTTCGCGAAACTGGACATGCTCAGTGAAAAACATTGTCAACTGCACTGTAATCTCTGTCTGATTTGGGGTTGGTTTCCTTCAGATTGAGAGTCTTAAAGCAGTTTTTTATCTGAAGTGCAGCAACAAATCATTCTGTAAATATTGCAGATCTTGTTTCTGTTCTTCATCTTTTTATGTTGTCCTTTGCATTCTTCTTTCAATTTCAGAACCTACCATCTGCATATTCTCACCAAAAGTAGACTGTCTGTTTAGGTCTGTCAAGATCCATCTTCTTAAATTCTCTGACACTGATAATGGGTCAGTCAAAGGATGTCTGCAATTCTGAATTCTCACTTCCCTTCTTATTGAGGAGAGAAGCGCTTATCACATATCTTCAATGAGATGTACAACTTGCATGGCTATTTAAAGTTCCCTGTTGACAGATTGGCAGATGGTGACTGGAGATAACACTGGGCACTATGGCTGCAGGCATCATTGCTGACACTTGCCCACCTGCTGTCTCATTTTGCACAGAGGTGCAGTGATATCAGCCAACCCAACTAGCCGTGCATGTGCCTCTCAGTCACCAACTAATGAGGTAGGTTTTCCTCGCCAGAAGGGGACAGAAGACTCATTTTGTTTTACTTAGAGCCTGCCAACGATTGAATGGCTACAGCGTAAGTCAGAGAGGTCAGGCTCAGTCCAAACATTTCAGTGGGGAAGGGTGGGGTGAAATCCCAGCAGCATATCTGAATTTTTGGTGCAAACCTACAACCTAAGATTCTATTATGAAATGATAAGATGCATGGTGTCACAGTACACCTTAAAATCAAAACTGCAAATTAATGTAACCATTCAAAACTGTCAACTTGAGATTTCAATTTTATCTTCCTTCTAGGGGAGATTGTATATCATTCCCGAGACAAAGAAGGCTGGTGTTTTTATGCATTATGTTCAGAAAACTGTCGTATTGTGAAGTACATGGAACCATGTGGAAAACCCACATCATCCCTGCCAACTATGGAGTCACCCACACCAACAACAATGCCACCAGGAGGTTGCTCAGCTCTGCACCCTCCAAGAGCCGTAAGTAATGGTGGTGTTAATCACAATCACCCATGTCTTAACATGTGTCTTGTGGAAATATGTTAGGAAAACAAGATCTTTATTCCCAAGTTTATAGGTGTGAGGCTAGAAAAGCACAGCAGGTCAGACAGCATCTGAGGAGCAGGAAAGCCAATGTTTCAGGCTGAACCCCATTGTCAGGACTGGAGAGGGGGAGGGGAGCCCAGAAATAAATAGAGGGAGAGGGTGGGGTTGGCGTAAGTGTAGGAGATGTGGTGATAGGTGGATGCAGGTAGAGTGTATTACGATTAGTCAGTGGGAAGAGTGGAGTGGGTAGGTGAGTAGGAAGATGGACAGATTAGGTCAGGTCAGGGAGGTAGGGAGGAGGAGGGTTACGGCGAGATGTGGGATAAGGCTGGGGGTGGAGAGATTTTGAAGCTGATGAAGTCAATATTGAGGCCACAGGGCTGTAAGCTCCCAAGCTGAAATATCAGGTGTTATCCCTGCAGCGCAAGAATTCACTTTTAGCCTGTTATTCAAGTCAGTGAGTGATTGAGGAGTATTAACTTTTCAAGAACCATTGAAATGTATCTCAGCTACATGTGTCTCCTGTGTACACTGCCATAATTGTGTAGCAAATGGGAAAAAGCAAGACAGTAGGAGCGGTGCACACATCTTCTTTCATCAGGAACACCACGCAACCAACAAAATTCTGCCCTCAGAGGGAATGGATGCACTCCAGAACCCTGTTCAGACCTGCATCTTTTATCATAAGTTTGGTATTTCCATTGCTTCTAAAACAATTATCTACTCTACCATCACCTTAATAATCCATTCTTAAAACCTTGTCACATATCAGTCATCACCTTGACCTATCATAAATTTCAGTTAATTCAGACATCAGTAAACTCAAATCAGTCCTCTGCTACACAGGTTTCCATACAGAACAATATCCCAGACACCCCCATCACCATCCCTCGTTATGGCCTGTCCCATGGGCAGGACAGATGCAGCAGAGATGGTGACACAGTTGTATACAGTTGGGAGGAAGTTGCCCTGGGAGTGCTCATCATTGATTCCAGATCCCATAAAGTCTCAAACCTCCTGCTGATTATTACGTACCAACACCACTATTAATCGAGTTGGTCGAGCCCTAAAGGAGACAGCTAGTCGACTGGGTCTGCGGCACATAGTGAGGGAAATCCATACTTGACCTCATCCTCACTAGCCTGCCTGCCACAGATGCATCTGGCTATGACAGAATCAGTCAGAATGAGCACCGCAAAATCCTTGTGCAGTCAAAGTCCCGTCTTCACAGTAAGGATACCCTCCACCATGTTATGTGACACTACCTCCACATTTCATGGCACAGACTTTGAATATATCTAGTAGTTCAAGACAATGAGGGGCTGTGGACCATCTAAAGGTTTTGTATCTTAATATGTGGAGCATTCACAGTAATATAGTTGAATTAATGGTGCAGATAAATAGAAATGGTTATGATATAGTTGCAGTTGCGACACACGTCTGCAGGATGACCAAGGATGGGAACGAAACATCCATGATGTAGAATCTGTATGGGTAGAGATAAGAAACACCAAGGGTTAGAAAACATTATTGGGTGTTGACTATATGCCCCCAAACAGTGGTGGAGATGTAAGGGAGGGCATTAAGCAAGAAATTGTAAATGCATGCAATATAGGTACAACTGTATTCATGGGTGACTTCAATTTGCAAATAGATTGCATAAACCAAACTAGTAAAGGTATCATGGAGGAGAATTTTCTGGAATGTGTTCGTGATTCTTCTTTTAGAATAATACATTGAGGAACCAACCACAGAACAGGTTATTCTAGGTTGGGTACAATGCAATGAGAAAGGATAATTAACAGTCTTGTTGTGCAGAGTCCTGTGTGGAAGAGTGACCATAAGATGGTAAAATTCTTCATTAAGATGGAGAGTAATGTCATCAAATCTGAAACTAGGGTCATGACTCTAAATAAAGGGAACTATGAGGACATGCAGCATGAATTGGGAAGGATGTATTGAGAAATGTTACTGAAGGGGTAGACAGTTGATTGGCAATGGTTCATAATAAAGAACATGTGCATGAATTCCAACAACTGTTCATTCCTGACTGGTGCTAAAATAAAAGAGGAAAGGCAGCTTAACCATGACTTACAACAGTAATTAGGGATACTATTAGATCCAAAGAGGAGACATAAACTTGTCAGGAAAAAGCCGCCAACTTGAGTGTTAGGAGCATTTTAGGATTCAGCAAAAGACGATAAGAAGTTTGATCAAGATGAGGAAGATATGAGCCCTATTTTACCATGCACTTCCAAGTACTCCACTATCTCATCTTTAATACTGGACTCTCAAATCTTACCAACAACTCAGGTCACGCTAACTGGCCTTTAGTTTCCTGTCTTCTACCTCCTTCCCTTCTCACACAAATTCTATGCCTTCCGACTCTACATCACATCTTGCTATTAATTTCATTTTATTTCTTACTAGCAAGGCAATCCCTCTCCCTCTGCCCATCTGCCTGTCCTTTCAGTAGGACATGTATCCTCGGATATTTAATTCCTAGTCCTGATCCCCTTGCAGCCATGTCTCTGTGATACCAATAGCATCATACTTGCCTGTTTGAATCTTTGCTACAAGCTTATTTACCTTGTTTCATATACTGTGTGCATTTAAGTACAACACACACAGTCCTACATTGACTGCCCTCCTGCTCATAGTTGTCCCCTTATCTGCTTTGCCTGAAGTTAGATTCCTGACCGTGCTCTCTGTCCAATAACTTGTTCTAGAAACTTTTACCTCTGCTGAGCCCTCCTCCCAACTTTAACTTTTTCCTTAATTTTCCATGCATCTGAACTCATCCACAATTTATTTTAAAGCCCTATCGACAGCCCCAGTTACGCAATTTGCAAGGACTTTGATCCCAGCATGATTCAGATGGAGCCAGTCCCATCGAAACAGCTCCCTCCTTTCTCAGTGCTGAAGCCAATGTCCCATTAATTCAAACCTGTTTCTCCCACATCAACCTTTGAGCCATGCATTTACCTCTTTAATCGTACTGATCATATACCAATTTGCTCGTGGCTCAGGTAGTAGTCCAGAGATTGTTACCTTTTTGATTCTGCTTCTTACTTTTGTCTTTAACTGCTCATATTCCCTCAGCAGACCCTCTTTTCTTTTGCTACCTATATTGTTGATATCTATGTGGACCACGACAACTGGATCTTTCCCCTCCCACTCCAAGTTCCTCTGCGGCCCAGATGAGATATCCTGAAGCTGGGCACCAGGCAGGCAACACAGCCTTCGGGATTCTCGATCTTGGCTACAGAGATACAGTGTCTATTCTCCTGACTATAGTATCCCCAGTTAGAACTACATTTCTCTTTTCTCCCCCTTCTTGAAAGGCCCCTGTACCACAGTGCTATGGCCAGTTTGCTCATCGTCCCTACAGCCCCCCACTTTCATCCACACAGGGAGCAAGAATCTCAAACCTTTTCGACAGGCTCAAGGGGTGAGTCTCCTCCAGCACAACTGCCTGGATACCCGACATGTGTTGCTGGTAGTCATTCCCTCCTGTCCCTGACCACTGACCAAATTTGAGGTTGTTAATCTAAGGGGTGTGACTGCCTCCTGAAATGCAGCATCCAGGTAACTCTCCCCTTCCCTGATGTGTTGCAGTGTTGGGAGCTCAGACTCCAGCTTATCAACTCTGGGCTGGAGATCATCAAGCAACCAACATTTGCTACAGATGTGGTCATTATGAAACACAAGGGGGTCCATCAGCTCCCACATCATGTGTTTACAACACATCACCTTGTCTATTTTAATGACTTAGTTTTTAATTTGATTTTTTTTTTAAATTGTACTTGTCTTTTAGTTTGTAGCCTGAAAATATTTCCCATTATTTACTTTCAGTCAAATTAGTAGCTATCACCAACCAATGAATTTAAGGTTTACCTGTGATGTCACTTTTGTGCTGGACCCCTGATCCTGGGCTCTAATTATCCTGTCAAAAAAGCTTTGGAGAGATACCAGCAAACTCATAAAACCATAATTAAAACATTTTACAGATAGTTCTCCTATCACACAATAGTTGTGTTCTTGCATGAAGTTGTGCTATAGAAAATCGCGCTGTAGAAAATAGCATTGAAAGAGCAACCTTCTACCACTCCCCCTCTGTCTCCTACCTTCAAGCCAATTTTGTATCCAATTGTCTAGCTCCCCCGGATCCCATGTGATCCAGCCTTAATACCCAGTCTACCATTGCAGAACCTTGTTGAACACATGCTGAAGTCCATGTAGACAACATCTACCACTTTGCCTTCATCAATCTTCTTTATCACCTCTTCAAAAATACTCAATCAAGTTAGTGAGACATGATTTCCCATGCACAAAGCCATGTTGACCATCCCTAATCAGTCCTTACCTTTCCAAATTAATGTAGATCCTATCCCTCAGAATTCCCTCCAACAACTTAGCCACCACTGACATAAGGCTCACTGGTCTACAGTTCTCTGGCTTTTCCTTACAGCCTTTTTTTAAGTAATAAATAATGGCACCATTTGACCACCCTCCAGACTTCACTTGTACCTCACCTGTGGCTGTCAATGATACAAATATCTCAGCAAGGGGACTAGCAATTTCTTCCCTAGCTTCCCACAAAGTTCTAGGAAATATCTGATCAGGTCCCAGGGATTTATTTATCTTTAAGTGTTTTAAGACCTCTGGCACTTCCTCTTCTGTGATATGAGCTCTTTTTTTCCCCCAAGTTCCCTAGCTTCCGTGTCATGATGTGAAATATTCATTCAGTATTCACCCATCTCTTGTGGTTCCACACATGATCTTTATGGGGGTCTAATCTCTCCCCAGTTACTCTTTTTCCCTTACTATACTTGTAGAATTTCTTTGGATTTTCCTTAACTCTATTTGCGAAAGCTGTCTCAAGTCTCCTTTTAGCCCTCCTGATTTCGCTCTTAAGTATACTCCTACTGTCCTTATACTACCCAAGGAATCCACTCGACCCCAGCTGTCTATACCTGCCATGTGCCTCCTTCTTTTTCTTGACCACAGACTCAATTTCTCTAGTCATCTAGTATTCCCTATACTTACCAGCCTTGCCCTTCACACTAACGGGAACATGCTGTGTCTGAACTCTCATTATCTCATTTTTAAAGACCCCCCCTACTTTCTAACCATCCCTTTACCTGCAAACAGCCTCCTCCAAACAATTTTTGAAATTTCCTATCTAATACCATCAAAATTGGCTTCACTCCAATTTAGAACTTTAACTTCTTGATCAATTAAATCATTTTCCATAACTATTTTAAAACTAATAGAATTTTGATCACTTGCTCCAATGTGCTCCCCCATTGACACCTCAGTCACTTGCCCTGCCTTATTTCCCAACAGAAGGTCAAGTATAGCTCCTTCTGTATTCCGTCCATATATTGAGTAAGAAAGTTTTTTGTACACACATAACAAATTCCTCTCTATACAAGCCTTTAATGCTATGGCAGTCCCAGTCTATGTTTGGAAAGTTAAAATCCCCTACCGTTACAACTCTGTTATTCTTATAGATATCTGAGATCTCCTTACACATTTGCTTCTCAATTTCCTGCTGACTATAGGGGGATCTATAACACAATCTCAACAAGGCGATAATCCCTTTCTTAATTCTCAGTTCCATCCATATAACTTCACTGGATGATCTGCCAGGAATATCCTCCCTAAGTACAGCCGTAACTCTTACCAATTTTTATAGATGCACCATAGAAAACATTCTATCTGGATGCATCATAGCTTGGTATGGCAACTGCGTTGCCCAGGATTGTAAGAAACAACAGAGAGTTGTGAACACAGCCCAGTCCATCACACAAGCCAACCTTCCACCTATTGACTCCATTTATACTTCCTGCTGCCTCAGAAAGGCAACCAACATCATCAAAGACCCCTCCAATCCCAGTCATAATCTGTTCCAACCTCTTCTGTCAGGCAGAAGATACAAAAGCTTATACAACAGATTCAGGAATAACTTCTTTCCCACAGTTATTAGACTTATGAATGGACCTTTCAAAAGTTAAATTTAATGTTGACCTTGCTCTTTCTGCACCTTCTCTCTGCAGTCACAATATTATATTCCTTGCTGTGTTCTATTACCCTTATGCATTTGTATGGATCTGCCTGTACTACACGCAAAACAAAACTTTTCACTGTACCTAGGTACGTGTTACCGTAATAAATCAAATCAAATAATAAATCAGAACGATGTTATCTCCACTTCCCCTCCTCTCTTGCCCCCCCCTTTTCTATGCTTTCTACAGCATCTGTACTCCAGATCATTTTGCTACCAGTCCTGTCCATCCCAGAGCCACGTTTCTGTGATAGCTATGTTATTGCTGTTCCATGTTCTTAACCATGTCCTAAGTTCATCTGCCTTACCTGTCAGGCCTCTTGAATTGAAGTGAATGCAGTTTATTTTCAGTCTTATCTTGTTGTCTGCCAAGCTCTTGTCTGCATCAACTATTTGACTTGCATCCCTTATCTACTGTACCAGCCTCAAGCTTGTTCTCTTTTTTCACTATCGCTTTAGCTCTCCCACCACCCACAACACCCCCCCACCACCACCTCCCTGGCTTCCCCCACCCAACCCCCCACCCCCGCCCGACCCCTTACTAGTTTAAAGCCTCTTAATTAACACTAGCAAATCTCCCTGCAAGGATATTGGTCCCCTTCTAACTCAGGTGTAACCCATCCCCTTTGTACAGGTCATTTCTACCCCGAAGAGATCTCAATGGTCCAAAAGTGCCCCCTGCACCAGCTCCTCAGTCATGCACTCGTCTGCTCTATCCTCCTATTCCTACTCTCACTAGCACATGGCACTGGTAGTAGTCCAGACATCACTATCCTCAAGGACCTACATTTTAACTTCCTGCCTAGTTTCCTATATTCTCTCTGCAGAAACTAATTCCCTTCCCTCCCTACGTCATTGGTACCAAATTGCACAACGACCTCCTGCTGGTCATTCTCCCCTTTCAGAATATCCTGCACCCTCTCCAAGATATCCTTGATCCTGGCACCAGGGAGGCAACACACCATCCTGATATCTCGCTGACAGCTGGAGAAACATCTGTCTCTGTCCCAAACTAGAGAATCCCTTACTACAATCGATCACTTGGAACCTAACATATCCCTCATTACAGTAGAGCCAGTCACAGTACCAGAAACCTGGCTATCAGTCCTATACTCCCTGAGTGGCCATTCCCCGCTATGGTATCCAAAACAGCATACCTGTTTGGGATGGGAAAAGCCACAGGAGTTTCCTGCACTAACTGGCTACCTTTTCTACCATTCCTAGTGGTGACCCAGTTACCTGACTGTATCTGTGGTATCTCCACTTTTCTGAAACTGCCATTGCTCACACCCCCTCGCTCTTGTTAACTCCTCATTGCCTCTAACTGCCCCTCCAACTGATCCTTGTGGTCTGTCAGGATTTGCAACCAAACACACTTCCTGCAGATATAATCTGCAGAAAAATTCAAATTCTTCCTGATCACCCACATCTGACAGAAAGAGCACATCACCCTACTAAAAATCATTTCTGCCCCCACTTTAACAATCTACAGACCCAGAAATAACCTAAAAACAAACACAACACACTTTGCTCAAAAATGCTGCGTTAGCACAGTCTTAATGCTCAGAAACGCTGCTCTAGGATAATAATAACAATCCTTTATATTAAAACACAATCAAGAGACAGATCTCAGTATAAGTATAATAAAAAGAATGCTCTCACCTTACACACTATTATAGATTTGCAAATAAAAACCAATTAAGAAGTTCAAGTCTTAAAATCAAACACTAGCTGATCAGGGTCAAAAACCTCAAAAAGGTTGTCCACTTCTGTATTTTCAGACAGTGATTTTTTTTTTTGAAATCACTGATATGCCTTGAGGTCTCTGCAGCTGCACGAGAAGCTGGATATTAGACCTCCCATGTCAGCTATGATATTGCACTGCTTCTAACTCTGACAACTGTAAAACTACACTTGTTAGCTGCTTCACAAAATGCTGATCTTATGCAATTCTTCAGTCTCTGACCTTGCCAAGCGGTCACTCTCCCAAAACACTCTCTCCTTCCTCCCTTTTAATGTACTTTTGTTATGATTTTCTTTACAGTTCCAAAAACAATGCAAAACTTACAAACACAGCCATTTCTGCCCCAAGGAAGTGAGTAAATCCAACTAAGCACTGAAAAACTCTCAAAACCAAGAGCAGCTCTAACAGCCACGATCCTCTCCTGAGTCCTGGACTCCTCCCTCTCTGGCTACAGGAATTCTGTAATGCTTCTAAAAATTGATGTATTTTTCTTTTCTCCCCACAAACCACAGGTGAATGAAACTTGGAAGCTTGGAAATTGTACAGTGGGAATCTGTACAGGAAACAACAACGTTTCTGTGGTTCCAGTGAAGTGTCCACCCGTTAATCCAGTTACATGTCAAAATGGACGGCAACCCAAAAGAGTTTACGATCAGTCTGGCTGTTGTTATCAGTATAAATGTGACTGTAAGTATTGGAGGCAGATCTACATTGTAGATTTTATATCACTATTTAATTTTGGCAGAGGTGAAGGCTGCACATTAAAGCAGTAACATGTGGTTCGCTGCTCAACAGCAAAAATTGCCTGTCTTGCAATGCAACATCCCTAATATTTTGTAAGACATGAAGAAAAAGTTATCATGCCATATCACTGATAACTAGCTCATGTAATTCCTATATTTAGGGAGTGCGACATTACACATCCAGGGAATAATAGATCAATCAGACTAACTTCAGTGGTAGAGAAATTAGCAAAATTCTTATGAAAGGAGACAGCAAGAGGACATGTAAATATGAGAAATATTATAAAGAATGGCCAGTGTGGATTGCGAAAGGGAAAATCTCACTTGACTGACCTTATTGAGTTGTTTGAGGCGTAACAGAGACAATGGTAATGCAGTAACCACAGTATCTTTGATGGCTGCTGGCTGGGTATAGCAAGTAGCGCTACAAGGTGGGAGGCCTTCACAGTGTAAACCTCAGTAACCATCCACCTGGAAAGCCTTGCACAGTCTTGCACAGCACTGGTTCCCTGACATGACAAGTAAATCTGTCTTCAGTGTTAGAGATTACACAGTTTTTCCCTTTCTGGGAAGATGATAGGGATGGCAAGAAGGAGAAATATTGGAACAAGTCAGCCGGGGATGAGCTTCTGTTTAGGGCTGACTTGTTCCAATATTTCTCCTTCTTGCCACCTCAGCAATTAAGTGCTGGGCAAGAAAGTCTACTGGGATCTTTCTCAATTGGCGAGGAATTAAGTCTTTAAACATGCAACTAATGGACATTTAAAGGTCTCAACCCACAACCTCCCCATCATCTGCCCCTCTGGTTGGCAAAAAGGGTGGTTGGTTTTTTGACTGGGAAACCATGGCGACCTGTCCATTGGATTGGGCAGCGGCCCCAGTTGCTCCATCTAGCACAGTCATAGAGCCATAGAGTTATACAGCATAGAAACAAATCCTTTAGTTCAACTCATCTGCACTGACCACATATTCTAAACTGATCTTAGTCCATTTGCCAGCATTCAGCCCATGTCCCTCTTAAACCCTTCCTATTCAAATACCCATCCAGATGTCTTTCAAATATTGTACCTGTCCCTGCCACCTCTGGCAGCTTGTTCTATACATGCACTACCTTCTGCATGAAAAGGTTGCCCTCCAAGTCCCTTTTTAAATCTTTCCCCTCTTATGTTAAACCTATGCTCCTCTAGTTTTGGACTCTCCTACCCTGGGAAAAAGTCCTTGGCTATTCACCCTATGCATACGCCTCTTGATTTTATAAACCTCTATAAGGTCACATCTCAGCTTCCGACACAAGTGGTTGGTCTCTGAATGCCAAACCTCTGCTCTTGCTTCTGATGTGCCTCCCTCTGTGGCCCCCATCCCTTGACAAGAAGAAACAAAAGATTTACCTTCTTACCACCCAATCCCCTGAGCAGTCATCTGGAAACATTGGATGCTAGGATGCAGGAGCCAACAACCTGTGATTGGCTGGAAACTATAGCCCTGGGTCACCAGTGTTGAGACCTGTGATAGGGGAAGATACTCTCTGTCTCTTGCCTGTCAGCCCTTAATGAGTGGATTGATAGGTAATTGGGTGAGTTATCTTACCAGTGGGGATGTCATGTTAGTCACCACCTAACATGCTCAATCCCACATTTTTTTAAAAAATGGAAAAATTCCACCCTTTTGCCTTCCATGCCTTGAATCCCTTTGTCCCTTATTCTGTTCCCCTCACAGCCCGGACTCTGTCTTTACATCTTCTGATTAGTAATCACTTATTCTTGTTCACACCTCTTTTAATGAGTTTTATATTTTCTTTCTCTCTATTGAATATTTAGTATTTAATGACCTTTGATGCTGCAGCAGTTTATAAAACATTATTTGTTATCTGTTTTAATCTAATAGATTGTATAGCACCTGATGGAAAACCAATACAGGTAAGTTCTTTAGTTGAGCAGATGGTATCTGTCACTACATTTAGCATTCATTTCAGCTTTAGCTTGCATGTAAATTTCCTAACACATCTTTGTGCATTTTTGACAGGTTGGTGAAACATGGCAACATAATTGTCAAGACTGTTCCTGCGACAATGCAACGTTGAGCATTGTTTGCAAACCCCACAAATGCTCACTCGAACCACCAGTGGTATGCAAAGGCCAAGGTTTTGTGCCAGTAGTCAAAAGAAATGAAAGTGATCCATGCTGTCCTGTGACTAAGTGTGGTAAGTGAGGCATGTGGATAATTATGCTCTGTACCAATATTTCATTGTATAGCTGTAGGATGAGATACTCCAGTACCAAAAATGGCACCAAATATATATTCATACATTTGCCTATTTGACCTAGAAATAGGTTTTGTTTATTTGTGTAATGATTTTAAAACTGTTTATGAAATTAATTTAATACTTATGTCCCGGCAACAAAAACCAGCTAGGATATTGTACAGGACAATAGTTGGAATATCATATGAAATGGCTGTCAAAGTTGTATAATCCCACCTTTTCATCAGTTTTGAGGTAATCAGGAATCATTAAGCACACCCTGCTGGTTGCACCTTAATGCGAAAATTATTTTCTTTCAATATATCCAAAAAGGGTTTTGATAAATAAGCAATGTAATTGCCGCAGTTCCCACATCATTCCAGAGATTTCTCTTTCAGCAGTTATTGTTGATTGAGCTCAAGCTCGTCTGTAACTAGGCATCCAATGCTGCTTGAAAAGCAGTTGTGTAAATCACACTTAGAATGGGTTTCAGGTTACTTGGTTTAAACGGTGCAGCAATCCTTCAAAAACACTTAGTTTTTAAAACAACAAGGTGCAGGGCTGGATGAACACAGCAGGCCA